CTAGTACGCCTAAATTTTAGCGCCCTCAAATCTAATGAGAGAAAGCTGGTAGGCCTACATATGAAAGAATGGGTTTATGTGGTCAGTGTGCGCAGTATAAAAAAATCCTGCAGCACACAGTGCGTAATGAGAAAAAAAACTTTGACAGTGTTTTTTGGATTAAAACAGCGACTTTGCACTGTATTTTCGTATGGTATTTATTGTTGTATTCAAGTTTTCCTGGTCTCATTTTATAGAATGGAAGATCATATTACAGAAATTGAGATGATTTTGACTGGTTTTACAATGAAAAGTACCTTGAAATTGAGCTCAAAGTAGCAGAAATCTTTGATTTTTACCAAAGTTCAAAAGTAAACAAATCATGCTATGCATCCAATACACGTCAACTGGTGAGTCTAATATTCTTTCACAAGTGCACTGATATTATTTATACCATTTCTACAATAATGCAGTAGTCTGCATAACAGTAATCTTCTATTTTTTGTGAGAATAAAAATTCAAAGTGGAAAGCAAAAGAATGTAAGAGGGGCGTGGGGACATGACTAATGAACAGAGGAAATGTTATTTTAGTGCCAGGAATGTCTTTCTTGTTTATTCTGGACCCTATTCAGAAATTGGCATCTTTTGAAATTTGTGTGAAACTGGCAAAATTGCTAAGCTCTGACCACTTTATTGGATAGTTGAAATCGGTAAATGGGTGCTTTCTTGTACTCATTCGATAGAAAAAATGGAGTTCTAGCGAAATAGTTATGACTTTTGTCGACTAGTACACTGGAACTAGCCGAAAATATGGCTCAAAGTGGGCAAAATCGCCGATGTTGCCGATGAGTTAACATCTTCGAGACCGCTAACTTCGCGAGAGCATAATCCCATAAGTTTTCTATCAAATTTCATACTTTTGGTGTCATTATGATCGGGAAAAGATTCTCTATCTTTTCATAAGAAAAAAATACTAATTTTTTTTTTGAAAATTTGGCGACCCTGAGAACAAGTCTTGGGGAGGGCCTGACGACCCTGAAAGGGTTAAGTGATGAGACTCCTACCACCTTACACTCAACTCATGACAATAGCACTGGCAACTTCTTCCACTGTACCATGAAAATAATCACTTTTAAGTACAATAAGGTTACAAAAGTTTTGTATAACAAGTACATTACTGTAATTTGTTAGTGCAAAGCCCCTTAAGAGAGGTTCCTTGATGTCAGTGAGGGGCTATTGATTCAAAGAATTAGACCTGTCATCCCCTTTCTACGACTGAAACTGATTGTTGCCTATTCCACAGATGCTGTATGACCTCTTAGATTAGCATTTTCCCATAAATATAAAAATAATAATCGTGTAAGCTGAAAGACCAGGAATGCAACTTTGAAGGTTGGGGCCCTCCTGTATATATAACAAGCCATCAAAAAAGTGAATGTAAAAATAATGGGTATACAGTAGAATCCCCATGTCCACAGATTCAGTTGCTGCAGTTTCAGTCATGGCTCAAAAATAACGCTTAATTTTGCTTAATAATGGACCTAAAGCACAAAAATAGTGATGGTGACAGTTCTTCAGAGCCTAAGAGAAGCTATGAAGTGTTTCCCATCAGCAAAAACATGCTAATTCTTGACTTATTGTGCATAATTTACCAATTAAAGTTCATTATAGGTATGTTTTTTTTTTAACAAGTCGGCCGTCTCCCACCTAGGCAGGGTGACCCAAAAAGAAAGAAAACCCCCAAAATGAAAATACTTTCATCATCATTCAACACTTTCCCCTCACTCACACACAATCACTGTTTTTGCAGAGGTGCCCAGATACAACAGCTTAGAAGCATATATAAAGATACAATATAAAAAGTGACCTGAAATAATAAACTCCCTATAAAATATAATATCAGGGCCCCAGTTATATATATACCATCCTATTACACATCCCTCCAAAACTGCCAATATCCCAAACCCCTCCTTTAAAGTGAAGGCATTGTACTTCCCATTTCCAGAACTTAAGTCCAGCTACATAAAAATAACTGGTTTCCCTGCATCCCTTCACTAAATATTACCCTGTTCATACTCCAACAGCTCATCAGGTCCCAAAAACCATTTGTTACTATCCACGGTAGGTCTTGGAACACATCCCTAGCAGATACTACAGGGGGACTACAGTACAATCATCTTAGAATACGGTACCCCCAAAAGAGAAAGACTCAGTCATTCTACTCTTGATATGTCAATCTAATAATAGCATTTAGTATATCAATTAATTCTTGAGCTTTAACTTTAAAGAGTAGCAATAGTGTATCTGATGTGAGAGTGACTGAAAAAAAACTTTTTAGATATTCTTTCTCACAACTTTCCCATTCATAAGTATAATGTTCATGTATTTATATAGTTTGGAAGTTAAGTGAATGTAAGGTTGCGTAAACGAGGCCATGTGGGTTTGATCGTGTTACTGACCAGTGTTTATTACAATTTTGTACGTATGGAATGTGAAATTATATATTTTTGCGAACAGGTTTACCAGAAGAATTATGAAATGTGACAATAGTTTTGAGTAAAAATATGTAAAAATCATATGTAAATCCTGGAGTGGTATACTGTATAACTTACAAAAAATCCTGAAAAATATAATGAATACTGAGTTAATGAGAATTAGTGAACATAAAACACAACAGAGGTGTGTGTGCATGACACAAATATACAACCTACAGTACATGCTGTACAATATTGCACCACATGAAAATACTTTATAAACACACTATCATGAGTCAAATGAATAAATTAATTTGCATTCACACTTTTGAGAAATAATGTTCCTTAAATTTATAACAGTCAATGCCTCACACTTGAAAGGCATATATTTAGTCATGTATTTTCCTAAACATTAAATCTAACACATAGGCACAGTAATTACATGAGTTAAGAGTCAATATGGAGCACTGTTTCATGAAGTCATGTTAGATGACAGGCCAATGTGACAGTGGCTCAGACTGGGGGCCAGTTTTATGTAAGATACACTTGGACAAAATGACCTATAAATGAGTCCAGTACCACTAAGCACTTCAGAACCCTGAGTATTGTCAACTGGTTTAGGATAAAAGCTTGATAATTATATACTGCAAAGGTGTAAAATTTCACAAGTACAAAACTATTACAATAATTAGTAGTAGAAATGCTAAAACTATAAGTAATTATCACTTATAAGAGAGCATTTTATTTTTAGTGTTACATGGTTCAAAGTACTGTTCTAAATCAAAATAGCATAACACTTTTTGTATTCATGTTTCATAACTTTTGATCCTTCAGCTAGTATGAAATGTGCCAAATGTTAAAAATTTCAGACAGATTTAAGAATATACTACTGTAATATGTTAAGTTATAGTTAGCACTCTGGGTTGAAAACTCACAGCCTAATATACCAATTTTCGATTATTATTATATTCATTAAGTGCTAAACCCATAGGGATCATATAGCACCTGGAAAATGGAAGATAATCAGGTTTGATCCAAGGAAGAGGAGGGCAGCTCTGAGTCCTTGGATCAAGAGCCCTTCACCAGCATCAAACACCTCACTAAAAGAGAGAGCAATTGTAGAGCAATACTATATAATGTAGACACTTATATTTTAGTAGATGGGGAGAGGAAGGTAGATGGTGAGAATATTTTGAGGAACTTTTAAATGTTGAGGAAGAAAGGGAGGCGGTAATTTCATGCACTGGCCAGGGAGGTATACCATCTTTTAGGACTGAAGAAGAGCAGAATGTAAGTGTGGGGGGAGGTACGTGAGGCATTACATAGAATGAAAGAGGGTAAAGCAGCTGGAACTGATGGGATCATGCCAGAAATGTTAAAAGCAGGGGGGGATATAGTGTTGGAGTGGTTGGTACTTTTGTTTAATAAATGTATGAAAGAGGGGAAGGTACCTAGGGATTGATGGAGAGCATGTATAGTCCCTTTATATAAAGGGAAGGGGGACAAAAGAGATTGTAAAAATTATAGAATAAGTTGGCAGTTTGGAGGGATATGTTGTGTATCTTTATACATATATGCTTCTAAACTGTTGTATTCTGAGCACCTCTGCAAAAACAGTGATAATGTGTGAGTGTGGTGAAAGTGCTGAATGATGATGAAAGTATTTTCTTTTTGGGGATTTTCTTTCTTTTTTGGGTCACCCTGCCTCAGTGGGAGACGGCCGACTTGTTAAAAAAAAAAAAAAAAAGTTTACTGAGTATACCAGGAAAAGTGTACGGTAGGGTTATAATTGAAAGAATTAGAGGTAAGACAGAATGTAGGATTGCAGATGACCAAGGAGGTTTCAGAGTGGGTAGGGGATGTGTAGATCAAGTGTTTACATTGAAACATATGTGTGAACAGTATTTAGATAAAGGTAGGGAAGTTTTTATTGGATTTATGGATTTAGAAAAGGCATATGATAGAGTGGCTAGGGGAGCAATGTGGCAGATGTTGCAAGTATATGGAATAGGTGGTAAGTTACTAAATGCTGTAAAGAGTTTTTATGAGGATAGTGAGGCTCAGGTTAGGGTGTGTAGAAGAGAGGGAGACTACTTCCTGGTAAAAGTAGGTCTTAGACAGGGATGTGTAATGTCACCATGGTTGTTTAATATATTTATAGATGGGGTTGTAAAAGAAGTAAATGCTAGGGTGTTTGGGAGAGGGGTGGGATTAAATTATGGGGAATCAAATACAAAATGGGAATTGACACAGTTACTTTTTGCTGATGATACTGTGATTATGGGAGATTCTAAAGAAAAACTGCGAAGGTTAGTGGATAAGTTTGGGAGTGTGTGTAAAGGTAGAAAGTTGAAAGTGAACATAGAAAAGAGTAAGGTGATGAGGATATCAAATGATTTAGATAAAGAAAAATTGGATATCAAATTGGGGAGGAGTATGGAAGAAGTGAATGTTTTCAGATACTTGGGAGTTGACATGTCGGCGGATGGATTTATGAAGGATGAGGTTAATCATAGAAATGATGAGGGAAAAAAAGTGAGTGGTGCGTTGAGGTATACTTTCTTCTTTCAACACACCGGCCGTATCCCACCGAAGCGGGGTGGCCCGAAAGGAAAAACGAAAGTTTCTCCTTTTACATTTAGTAATATATACAGGAGAAGAGGTTACTAGCCCCTTGCTCCCGGCATTTTAGTTGCCTCCTACAACACGCATGGCTTACGGAGGAAGAATTCTGTTCCACTTCCCCATGGAGATTGAGGTATACGTGAAGTCAAAAAACGTTATCTATGGAGGCAAAGAAGGGAATGTATGAAAGTATAGTAGTACCAACACTCTTATATGGGTGTGAAGCTTGGGTTGTGAATGCAGCAGCGAGGAGGTGGTTGGAGGCAGTGGAGATGTCCTGTCTAAGGGCAATGTGTGGTGTAAATATTATGCAGAAAATTCGGAGTGTGGAAATTAGGAGAAGGTGTGGAGTTAATAAAAGTATTAGTCAGAGGGCTGAAGAGGGGTTGTTGAGGTGGTTTGGTCATTTAGAGAGAATGGATCAAAGTAGAATGACATGGAGAGCATTTAAATCTGTAGGAGAAGGAAGGCAGGGTAGGGGTCGTCCTCGAAAAGGTTGGAAGGAAGGGGTAAGGGAGGTTTTGTGGGCAAGGGGCTTGGACTTCCAGCAGGCGTGCGTGAGCGTGCTCGATAGGAGTAAATGGAGATGAATGGTATTTGGGACCTGATGATCTTTTGGAGTGTGAGTAGGGTAATATTTAGTGAAGGGATTCAGGGAAACCGGTTATTTTTATATAACCGGACTTGAGTCCTGGAAATGGGAAGTACAATGCCTGCACTTTAAAGGAGGGGTTTGGGATGTTGGCAGTTTGGAGGGATATGTTGTGTATCTTTATATGTATATGCTTCTAAACTGTTGTATTCTGAGCACCTCTGCAAAAACAGTGATTATGTGTGAGTGTGGTGAAAGTGTTGAATGATGATGAAAGTATTTTCTTTTTGGGGATTTTCTTTCTTTTTGGGTCACCCTGCCTTGGTGGGAGATGGCCGACTTGCTGAAAAAAAAAAAAAAACTTACATTTGCCAGAGGAGAAAGCTCTAGCTCGGCTCCACCTCTTAATTTCAACAGACTTACATAAAACTGATGAAATTTATTTTTGAACCCCCAATATGAAATCTATTTTAACTGTGTCACTGCTCAGTTCAGTACCTGGCTGGCAAAGCTCTCGCTTCACACACGGAGGGCCCGGGTTCGATTCCCAGCAGGGTAGAAACATTTAGACAAGTTTCCTTACACCTGTTGCCCTGTTCACCTAGCAGCAAATAGGTACCTGGGTGTTAGTCGACTGGTGTGGGTCGCATCCTGGGGGACAAGATTGAGGACCCCAATGGAAATAAGACAGACAGTCGTCGATGACGTACTGCCTTTCTTGGGTTATCCTGGGTGGCTAACCCTCTGGGGTTAAAAATCTGAATGAAATCTTATCTTATCTTACACTTGAACTTCATGATTATCAGGTCATCCTGACAATTCAACATCTGCTGATGGATTTCTCCATCTGTCATAGAACATATCACCTTCAAATTTTTTATTTATAATTTTTCCTTCAACACCCTGACATGCTAACTTTTTGTGCCCTCTTTTCTGAAAATCCCACCTTTAATGCAGACTCACTCTATGATTTCTTAACTGTAACAATATGCTACACAATCTGTGACCCACCTCCATTTTTGTCTGATGTCCTTTTAAGGACCTCTCCTTTCCCCTCGACCATTTCTTTCACATCTGTTGTGCAGGGCTGAATGGCTCTTACAGCTTTAACACTTTTCATGAATATATTAATAGTTACATACTTCGTTACCACTCTTACATCAAATAAATATTTACTGATATCCCTGTGGCTTATTTGAATGTGTAAATTTTAAATGTGCCCTTTCATTTTAGTTGCATCCTTTATAAAGAACCTATCATTGTCTACCCTGTCTGTGCCCATGTATTATGTACAGAATGTCAATCGTATCCCCTCATATTCCTCATTCCTGCGGTAGTATAAGGCTTGGTTCATACATTCTCTACTCAGCTACTATATATTATTTCAAGTAAGATGTGACACTGGTTGCATAAAACTTAAATATGCATGACTGCTGAACTCTTTGTAAGAAATATGGTTTTAAAACTTATGTGGAATGTTACAAAAGATACTTTAGATTGTGAGTCTTCTACACTACCACAATGTAATGCCCATTAATCACAATAATTTGTTGCTTGATATGAGAAGTATGGTCAAATGTCCAATCTTGATAACTTGCAACTTATTATACAAATGAATGTCTTGTGATGAGAAATTTCCAAAGAATTTATTTTTCCTGTTGCTGCAGCCAATGAATACAAAGAGCTTAAGCTTATTTTGCATAAAACTTTTTTAGCAGTAGATTTTGATTCTTTTTTCGTGAATATTTGAGTTTCTTTCAGGTACTGTATTGTGGGATGGCTCACTTCACTACATGACACTTTCATAAAAAAAATCTCAGATTATATTTTCTTTAACAAAGCTCCATAGATGGTGGGCTAATATTTGGTATTATAGATACAAAGCTTTTCTTTAATATGGTCTTTATCTGATGACAATTATAGTCAACTAGCAGCTGGATATCTAAGGGTGGTACTGGCCAAGACACACATCCTCACTTGGAAGATCAAACAAGGCACATCACTGAGTATAATAATTTCATATGATGAAAATTACACACTGAGGTAAGACCATGCCATCATGTGAAAACACACTGTTTAATAAGTCTGCATAAGCATATAACATTATGCCAAACAGTGATGTCACATGATTAGAATACCTTAAAATGCACTCAAAACCCTATCTTGATTGTGCCAGGATGGGATACAAAGGTGTGGTGAATTGCATCACAATTTCTAGTTAGTCACAGTTTCTTTCATCAGACCCATCAGAGCACTCAACAAAACCATTGCAGATGTTAGTGCGGGGGAGGCACTGGCCAAGGGGGCAGCGGTGGGTGTCACACTTGGCTGACACTGGGACCACCAGATCACTCTTCGTCAGCTCCATTACCTGCCGAAAGGTATCAGGTGAAGCAATATGAAAATGCAAGTGAGAAACCCAAAAATGAAAAGGGTACAATAACTCATTTTTCTAACAGCATGGAAGTGTAAGTACTGTATATCCAAGAGATAACAAGTGATGCAAAATTCTGGTAAAGACATTGCTTGGTCAGTCTCAGGTTATACATAATTATGTTAGGAAAGTAAATGAATGGAGTAAATATAAGGACAATGATTCTTAATAGAATTCAAACCCACTAACCTGGCAACATCACATGGCCTAAAAGAGTAATGTGATTTCATAATGAACCATTCCTGGTCAATGAAAATTATTGGTTCCAAAGTTTGGGTGTTCTGGCTAACATGCTCAGATAAATTGATCAAGGATTGACCTCAAAAGGCTACAATAGTTCAAACAAATTTTTTTACATGAAACTATAAACATCTTTAGAATGGAGTTGAAGGCCACTAGAGTTAACCCTTCACACTGCCCAAGACAGTAATGACTCAGTCCACCATTCTAAACCATTCAAAAAACTATTGATGCTGCTGGCTAATGGGTTCAAGCCTCATTTAAGAAGTAATCACGTAATGCAAGGCTTTCACATCTACTGAGAGTGACCATGTGAGTTGCTGCATTGAAGTGAGAGAGCACATGGGAAAGGGTTACAGAAACTTGCTGCACAACAGTTATCTAAACTGGCTCTGTTGTGTGATGAATGATGTAAGGGCAAGACAGAGGAAAAAACAGAAATGTTCAGTGATACAGTATAATCTTAATACAAGTTATTTTTAATGCAAGTGAAAGCTTTTATCAAAACAAACTAATTAACAAAGACCCAATTGTAGTATTTAACTATGTCTAGTGAATAATACACAATGTATAGGATACAATAGATTATATTTATCACACCTGGTTCATCCAGTCAAGATACTTGACCACCTTGGTATAGACACCTGGGCGATGTGGGCGGGCACATCCATACCCATTGCTGGTCACCCCCACCAGCTGCCACCCTCCATCAGGCTCCTGCAACACAATACACACTGAAGACAATAATTTCTTGCATTGCTTGTCTTAATACTAATTTTTTTTTATTTTTTTTTATTAACACATCGGCCGATTCCCACCAAAGCAGGGTGGCCTGAAAAAGAAAAACTTGCATCATCATTCACTCCATCACTGTCTTACCAGAAGGGTGCTTTACACAACAGTTATAAAACTGCAACATTAACACCCGCCCTTCAGAGTGCAGACACTGTACCTCCCATCTCCAGGACTCGAGTCCGGCCTGCCAGTTTCTCTGAATCCCTTCATAAATGTTACTTTGCTCACACTTCAACAGCACGTCAAGTATTAAAAACCATTGGTCTCCATTCACTATCAAATATGCTCACGCATGCTTGCTGGAAGTCCAAGCCCCTCGCACATAAAACCTCCTTTATCCCCTCCCTCCAACCCTTCCTAGGCCGACCCCTATCCCACCTTCCCTCCACTACAGATTTATACACTCTTGAAGTCATTCTGTTTTGTTCCATTCTCTATACATGTCTGAACCACCTCAACAACCCCTTCTCAGCCCTCTGGATAATAGTTTTGGTAATTTCACACCTTCTCCTAACTTCCAAATTACAAATTCTCTGCATTATATTCACACCACAAATTGCCCTCAGACATGACATCTCCACTGCCTCCAGACTCCTCCTCGTTGCAACAGTCATCACCCATACTTCACACCCATACCTGGAGTTTACCTGGAGAGAGTTCCGGGGGTCAACGCCCCCGCGGCCCGGTCTGTGACCAGGCCTCCTGGTGGATCAGAGCCTGATCAACCAGGCTGTTACTGTTGGCTGCACGCAAACCAACGTACGAGCCACAGCCCGGCTGGTCAGGTACCGACTTTAGGTGCTTGTCCAGTGCCAGCTTGAAGACTGCCAGGGGTCTATTGGTAATCCCCCTTATGTATGCTGGGAGGCAGTTGAGCAGTCTCGGGCCCCTGACACTTATTGTATGGTCTCTTAACGTGCTAGTGACACCCCTGCTTTTCATTCAATTCAAATTCAAATTCAAAGTTTATTCTCTATAAAGATTACAATGTTGAATTTACAGAATTTGGTTGTTGTGTGGTTTATATGTAGTTAAATAATGATTACAGAGTGTACCACTAGAATGCCTAGCATGGCTAGGCATTTCGGGCAGACTTAGTTTAATTTTTTTATTTTAAAATATTACAAATTATGAGGTAAGTTGGTATTATGGCTAAGTGATAAATACTAGTTTGTGAGTTTAGCAATGTGAATGCTTTTGTTTTGGCACAGTACATAGTTTCAATATTGGAGTATCATAGGATTCATTATTTTAAGATTGAGATTAATATTTCTGTTTATGGTCAAATGGGTGAGTGAGTGTAAGTGTGAACCACCAGGTGGTATTCGTGTAGTTAGTTGATGGGGTGTATCAGGGAGATAAGATGTTTTCTAATGGTAGTTTTGAAGGTGATGAATGTGTCTGCAGTTCTAGAGTTCTCAGGTAGGGTGTTCCAGATTTTAGGGCCTTTGACATTACATTGAATTTTTGTAAAGGTTTAGTCGGACACGGGGAATGTCGTAGAGATGTTTGTGTCTGGTGTTATCCCTGTGGGTTCTGTCACAACTATCAAGAAAGCATTTTAGGTAAAGGGTTTGATATTGGAGTTTAAGGTCCTGTAGATGTAGATTGCACAGTAGTAAGTGGGGGATTTTACTGAACAGGGAGTAAGTTTAGATCTATGAAGAGTGGGGGGGGTTGTGTTGCCAGGGATGGGATTTAGTGAGTAATTCTTACTGAAAGCTTTTTGTTGGATTATTATTGGCTTTAGGTGTGTTGCTGCAGTTGATCCCCAAGCACAAATAGCATAGGTGAGGTATGGATATATAAGTGAATGGTATAGTGTGATAAGGGGCAGTTTGCGGCACGTAGTATCGTATCTTGGAGAGGATCCCAACCGTTTTGGATACTTTTTTGGTTATGTTTTGGATATGGGTGCTGAAATTCAGTTTGTTGTCAAGGTATACTCCTAGGGAAATTTTCCCTCATTATGTCTGGTAATTAGGGTGTTGTCGATCTTAATGTTTAAATTTTTGCATCTCCTGCTCTGCTACCAAACATAATATAGTAGGTTTTGTCAGTTTAAGCGTAAGTTTATTGGCTGTCATCCAAGTCGATATTTTGATCAGCTCCTCGTTAACAATGGTGTTGAGGGTGGCAAGATTAGGGGGAGAGATGACATAAAAACATGTCGTCAGCAAAGAGAATGGGGTTTTAGGTGTTGGGATATGTTTGGAAGATCACTGATGTATATGAGGAAGAGCAGGGGGCCAAGGACACTTCCCTGCGGAACTCCAGTATCAAGTGGCTGTGTTGTTGATGCTGTGTCTTTAATGGTGACATACTGATACCTATTAGTAAGGTAAGATTTGAAATAAGCAAGCGCATGGCCTCTATACCGTAATGGTCAAGTTTGTGGAGTAGGATGTCGTGGTCTACTGTGTCAAAAAGCTTTTCTTAGGTCAATAAAATTTCCTAGTGGATATTCCTTATTTTCCAATGCTGTGTAAAGCAATCTAGCATTTTTATGATTTGCATCATTAGTGCTTTTATTTTTCCTGAATCCAAATTGGCAGGGGTTGAGTATGTTTTGTGTTGTTATAAATGAATATAGTCTCCCGTGCATGATTTTCCCTCAAAGATTTTGGATAGCAATGGTAAGTTTGATATTGGCCTATAGTTGTTTAAGTCTGTAGGGTCACCACCTTTATGTATTGGTGTAACCCTTGCCATCTTGAGTAGTTTCGGGAAGGTGCTAGTTTCTAGTGACTTGTTAAAAAGTAATGAAATAGCATGCGAAAGGATATGGGCCGCTTGCTTGTACAGTAATGGTGGGACATTAGACAGATTCCCTGAGTTGTTTTTAAGTGACTTTATAATCTCGGTGACTTCCGAGGGCTCAGTTGGTGCAAGATAGAAGGAATTTGGGAAATTCCCATCTAGGTAGTCCCTGGCATAGGCATTGGTATGTGGGATTTTATTGGCGAGATTAGATCCTATGGTTGAGAAGAAGTCGTTTATCTTGTTAGCTGTGTCAGTGGGATGTAGTGGTGTTTCATTAGGTTTAGTTAGGACAATATTCTTGTTTTTTTCAGTTTGTGGGTCCCTAGAATCTGAGAGAGTGTTTTCCAGGTCTTTTTTATATCTCCTCTAGTGTCTGGGGAATCTACTGGAGTAGTATAGTTGTTTGGCTTTCTTTATTACTTTGGTGAGAACTGATGAATAGTGTTTAAGAATATCTTTGTGTATTAAGCCCTGTCTATATTGCTTTTCATATTGGTGTTTCTTGTCAATGGATTTCAGAATGGTACTGGTTAGCCATGGGCAACCAAGCCGTTTGTTTGTGATCTGTTTCGTTTTTATAGGACAATGTTTGTTGTATAGTCTAAGTAATTTGTTAAGAAAAATGTCTGTCCAGTCATCAATACCATTGGCCTTGGAGAATTCTGTAGGCCAGTCAACAATCTCTAGGTCAGCTGTGAACTTCCTTATTGAGGCCTCATGATGGAGTCTAAATGAGACTTTGTTGAATTCAAGTGGGGGTTTACTAATGTTTGTCAGGAGGAAGGTAGGGTAGTGATCTGTAGTGCTATCTGTGATTATCCCTGATTTAAGGGGGGCTAGTATATTGGTCCATATGTGGTCTATTATGGTTGCACTTGTCTCAGTGAGCCTGGTTGGTTTAGTTATTGTTGGTATGAGAAGTGTGTTGTTCATATTGTTGATGAAATCAGTTACAGGCTGATCATCTAGTAAGCCAAGGTTGATGTTGAAGTCTCCAGCTAAGAGAAGGTGGTGCTTATTCATTTGTCTGTTTGTTATTAGTGACTTTAATTTCTCACTGAAATTTGGGATGTTTGTGTGAGGTATCCGGTAAATGGCACCAATTGTTATAGGTGTCTTAAGGTTTTTTACAGTAAAATTAGCAAAAATGTATTCCCCATATTCATCACTAAAGCAATGGTGCTAATACAAGATAACTGGTTAGAGTAATAGATTGCAATACCACCCCCAACTTGGTTTGGTCTGCAGTTGTTGAATTGCTGTGTATCCTGGTAGAGGGTAGATATCTATTGTGTCCTGCTTAAGCCAGGTCTCAGTAAGAATAACGCAGGAGAAGGGTGTCTTTAGTGATTCAAGGAGTGCCAGGAGGTCATCATAGTGTTTGCTTAAGGACCTGATGTTGTAGTTAAGTACTGATAGACTTTTAGCATTGTTTAGGATAGTGCTGGCTTGTGTTGCTGTGTAATAAAGGCAGTTACTTTCCAATAGGTTTTGATTGGGTGTCAGATTATGGAGGTTTAGATCAGGGTCAACGTAATCAATCATCTTCTAGGTTTAAATTATGGTTATTTATATCCTGAGTTGTGTGTTGAGTTCTAGTACTGATATCTGTAGTGGTGGGAAGTTTGGATAAGTATATAGCTAGAGTATTTTGGTCATATAGAGTATAGTCACTAATACACATAATGAAGTTGATGTTGTCTATGTGTTGTGCTGGAATGAACTAAAGTACAACTAGGTATAAACTAGTAATATAAAAATACAAATTTAAAATAGAACAAGACTCTCACTTGTAACTGCACTAAGGTCTAATATAATGACTTTTGTGGAGTCTATGTTTTGAGCTAGAATGAGCTATAGTACAACTAGATTTAATCTAATAATATAAAAATACAAATTAAAAATAGCACCAGTCTCTCACTAGTAATTGCACTATGGTCTAATATAATGAATTTGGTATTGACTATAGTACAACTGTGTTTAATCTAATAATATAAAAAAGGCACAAGACTCTCAATTGTAATTGCACTAGGGTCTTATATAAGTTGTTTACAAGAATTAGAGTATAACTAGATTTAAATTGACAGGATAAAATACACAAGTTAAGGTAGTAAAAGAATAATAATAAAAAAATGATAAAAATAAAAATGGCAATGACT